AAAAGAACCCAAAAATATGAAGATAGTATGAGGAGTCTCTGGGATATGGGGGTGCCAGAAAGAGAAGAGAAGGAGCAAGGAATTAAAAACCTACTTGAAGAAATAATGACAGAAAAATTCCCCTACCTGATGAAATAAATAGACTAACAAGTCCAGGAAGCACAGAGAGTTCAAAACAAGAGGAACCCAAAGAGGCCCAAACCAAGACACACCATAATTAAAATGCCAAAGGTAGAGAACCAAGATGGTGGCATAGGTTAACGCCGGAGTTTGCTGCTTTGAACAACTACTTCAAAAGTGAAACCAAAAAATGGAAGGGACAGCACCCAGAACCACAGGAACGCCGGCTGAGTGGAAGTCCTACAACTAGGAGGAAAGAGAAACGCATACGGACACTCAGAGGAGGCACAGTGCTGAAGTCAAATTCTGAGGTGCGGAGTGCGCGGAGCGGGCTGGCGGCGGAGGGCGCGGTTGGCGTTTTCAATCTGGAGGGAGTCGCAGAATCTGAGCTCCAGATCCGGGCGAGTCTTTAGGGACCCAGACTCAAACGGGAGAAGCTGGACTGTCTGGCTTCGGTCAGAGCGAGTGCAGCTTTCTCTCTGAGCTTTGCAGCGGGTGCTGGGACTCAGAGAGACAGAGCCCCTGGGGACAGGACTGAGAGCCGCCATAACTGCTCTCTCCTGCCCACCCTGTTGATCCTGTGCGACCCGCCCCGCCCAAGCCCTGCACACAGGCATTTGCCGGATAGCCTCAGGCAAAGGCTAGATTAGCACCTCCCTAGAGGACAGAAGTTCTCTCACTGCTGACACAGCTGATTCTCATAGCCACTTGGCCTGGAGGTCAAACCCTCCCTGGAATTAGCTACAACAATCAAGATTTAACTATAAGACTGCGAACAAAGACCACTAGGGGGTGCACCAAGGAAGCATAACAAAATGCAGAGACAAAGAAACAGGACAAAATTGTCAATGGAAGATATAGAGTTCAGAACCACACTTTTAAGGTCTCTCAAGAACTGTTTAGAAGCCACCGATAAACTTAATGAGATCTACAAGAAAACTAATGAGACCCTCGATCTTATATTGGGGAACCAACTAGAAATTAAGCATACACGGACTGAAATAATGAATATTATACAGACTCCCGACAGCAGACCAGAGGAGCGCAAGAATCAAGTGAATGACTTGAAATGCGAGGAAGCAAAAAACACCCAACCGGAAAAGCAAAATGAAAAAAGAATCCAAAAATGCGAGGATAGTGTAAGGAGCTTCTGGGACAGCTTCAAGCGTACCAACATCAGAATTATAGGGGTGCCAGAAGATGAGAGAGAGCAAGATATTGAAAACCTATTTGAAGAAATAATGACAGAAAACTTCCCCCACCTGGTGAAAGAAATGGACTTACAGGTCCAAGAAGCGCGGAGAACCCCAAACAAAAGGAATCCAAAGAGGACCACACCAAGACACATCATCATTAAAATGCCAAGAGCAAAAGGTAAAGAGAGAATCTTAAAAACAGCAAGAGAAAGAAACTCAGTTACCTACAAGGGAATACCCATACGACTGTCAGCTGATTTCTCAACAGAAACTTTGCAGGCCAGAAGGGAGTGGCAAGAAATATTCAAAGTGATGAATACCAAGAACCTACAACCAAGATTACTTTATCCAGCAAAGCTATCATTCAGAATTGAAGGTCAGATAAAGAGCTTCACAGATAAGGAAAAGCTAAAGGAGTTCATCACCACCAAACCAGGATTATATGAAATGCTGAAAGGTATCCTTTAAGAAGAGGAAGAGGAAGAGGAAGAAAAAGGTAAAGATACAAATTATGAACAACAAATATGCATCTATCAACAAGTGAATCTAAGAATCAAGTGAATAAATAATCTGATGAACAGAATGAACTGTTGATTATAATAGAATCTGGGACATAGAAAGGGAATGGACTGACTATTCCTGGGGGGGAAAGGGGTGTGGGAGATTCGGGAAGAGACTGGACAAAAATTGTGCACCTATGGATGAGGACAGTGGGTGGGGAGTGAGGGCGGAGGGTGGGGCGGGAACTGGGAGGAGGGGAGTTATGGGGGGAAAAAAAAGAGGAACAAATGTAATAATCTGAACAATAAAGATTTAATTAAAAAAAAAAATAAACAACACAAGAAGGGAAAAAAAAATAAAAAAAATAAAATGCCAAAGGTTAAAGACAAAGAGAGAATCTTAAAAGCAGTAAGGCAAAAGCAGTTAGTTACCTTTAAGAGAGTGCCCATATGACTGTCAGCTTATTTCTCAACAGAAATTTTGCAAATCAGAAGAGAGTGGCAATATATATTCAAAACAATGAAAAGCAAGACCTACAACCAAGATTACTCTAGTCGGCAAAGCTATCACTTAGAATTGAAAATCAAATAAAGAGCTCCACAGACAGGAAAAAGCTAAAGGAGTTCATCACCACCAAACCAGTATTACATGAAATGTTAAAGAGTCTTCTTGAGGAGGAGGAAGAGGAGAAAGAGGAGGAGGAGGAGGAGGAGGAGGAGGAGGAGGAGGAGGAGGAGGAGGAGGAGGAGGAGGAGGAGGAAGAAGTAGTGCTGGAAGCTAATTCCAGCAGGTCATAAATGCAAGAAGTCCTCAAAAGGTTGATGGGCTTCTATATTTAGCAGGCTGAATCATATTACCTGCTGCTGGAATAGCTGAAAGCATTTCCCCAAACCTAAATATTTGCAAATATTATTGCCTATGCCTGACAGCTGAGGGCAGTACCCCAACCTGACAATGTCTACTGTATACCAAATCTTACCTTTGATATGTATATCTGCTTTGCTTTAGGGCAATTTGTGTTAATAAAAAGCTAGGGGTCTAGAGATTCAGGGAGCTTGGTTACTGAAGTTAGGTCTCCTCTGGCTCCCCAAAATGCCTTCCAAATTTATATTTCATGTCTAGTTTATTAATTTACTCACAGCCCCTTTTCCAGATTCCTGAACCCTTCTAGATGCAGGGAAACACCCCGGCAAGAAGAAGAAATATGAACAATAAAATGACAATAAATACATATGTATCAACAGTTGAATCTGAAAATTAAAATGAACTAACAAAGAATCTAATGAACAAAATAAACTGATGACTAAAATAGAACCAGAGGCATGAAAATGTGGAACAGACTAAAGAATCTCAGAGGGAAGGGGGGAGAAGGGATGGGAAGAGATTAACCTACGAGCTTATATGCATATATACATAACCCATGGACACAGACAATAGGGTGGTGAAGGCCTTGGGTGGGGCAGGATTCAGGTGGAGGGGGAAATGGGGAAGGAAACTGGGGGGATACCTGTAATGCTCTCAACAATAAAAATTTTAAAAATGCAACTGGCTTATTTGAGAGATCACAGAAAGCTAGTGAGGGAGTGGAAAATAGAGTGATAGAAGGAAGGACATTTTTAATGAATGGAGTATCACTTTGGGCAAGTAGGTCTCATCCCACTGGGGCTCCTCTGACAGGCTTGTAGGACATGACTCAGAGTTGTTCCACTGGATGCTAATTTTCACACAACTCTAGCCCCTAATCGATTAACAGTAGTTCCTGAAGCATAAAGAATACTGCACTTTTGCAAGTATTTAGCATACTGTTTAAAGGTGATTTCCACAGTGGACCAAGAAGATATGAGCTATTAACCTAAAAATGAAAGATCTTTCAAAGTGAGAGGCAACAAGCATTTATTTGATATAAAAAAGAGTAGCTATTCAGAACCACTGATTCAGGCAGAAATCTACATAATGTTCTGATTAGGACACAAAGCAAGGGATAGTTACAAGAAAGGGAAGAGGAACCATTACATCACTGGAAGGAAGGCATTTCTATTGATGCAGATAAGCTAACATAACGACACTAATTCTAAACAGTGTTTCTAATTCAGTCCAGTAGTCATCAGCTGGTAGACATAATACCTACTTTCCTTTATCCTTGCCAACTGTTCTTTGGGACACAATGTTGCTTAAGGCCCAGTCCAAAGGTTATTTTGCCCTGTTTTAGCATTCCAAAGGTTTTAGGCATAAGATGTGCAAGGCAGTTCTTCTAGGACAGGGGTGGGCAAACTTTTTGACTCGAGGGCCACAATGGGTTCTTAAACTGGACCGGAGGGCCAGAACAAAAGCATGGATGGAGTGTTTGTGTGAACTAATATAAATTCAAAGTAAACATCATTACATAAAAGGGTCCGGTCTTTTTTTTTTTTTTTTAGTTTTATTCATTTCAAACGGGCCGGATCTGGCCCGCGGGCCGTAGTTTCCCACGGCTGTTCTAGGATGACAGCTCTGACTCCATTTTAAAGTGCCTCCGTCCTATATAATAAAAGGCTAATATGCAAATCGACTGAACGGCAGAACAACCGGCTCAATGATGCGCACTGACCACCAGAGGGTAGGTGCTCAAAGCAGGAGCTGCCCCTTGATGGTCAGTGCACTCCCACAGGGGGAGCACCACTCTGCTAGAAGCCAGGCTCACAGCTGGTGAGTGCAGCAGCGGTGGTGGGAGCCTCTTCTGCCTCCACCTCAGCACTAAGGATGTCCGACTGATGGCTTAGGTCCGCTCCTCCCAGGGGGAGCAGGCCTAAGCCATAAGTTGGACATCTCCCGAAGGCTCCCAGACTACGAGAGTGTGCAGACCGAGCTGAGGGCCCGCCCCCACCCTCGCCCCCCTCGCCCCCACCCAGTACACAAATTTCATGTACTGGGCCTCTAGTTTATTATATTTTTGCATCACAGATGTAGAAACTGAGGCTTAGCAAGACCTTCATGGCTTCTTACACTGATATTAGAGCTCATGCAATAACACAATATCATTTTATGCAAAAGAGTCCCAATAAATAAATGTTAGTGATCATGGATGACTTCATCATAACACCAAAAGGTTTGACACTTCCCTCTGCTTGCCTCAACAAAGACATTTTCAGGGCATTCTTTCTACTTTTCTCCAAACCTGGGAGGATGGGCAAGGAAGAATGTTACCTGTGATCCATCCCAACTGGCCTTTGTAGAAATGTCCCACCATGCCCCCAACGTGGGCCCCCAGGCTCACACCAATGATGTGGATGGAGGACTCCGACACACCCAGCACCTACAACAGACATTTACAGTGGGTTACATTTGGGACCCAGCAGCCCCTGGTCTCACAGGGCCACACTTTCCCCTGAGGCTTTAGCAGCAGAGGGCCCTGGGCATGACACAGGTGCTCCACATGCTGAGGTCAGGGGTGAGCGGGTTGGGGAGGGCAGAATCCTCATTCTGGTAAGCCCTTGCCCTCTTGCTGGGCGCTGCAGGGGTAATCCCCCTCACTTTCCTTTTGGTGCCCAGTGTGAGTCATGAGCACATTCTCCGTCTGAGAGATGACCGAAGCCAGCCACTGGCTCTCTCTACCTGATATGCAGGGGCCCAATTTACAGAGGAGAGGGGGAGAGGAGGAGATGGACAAGCCCCTTGGGTGGCTGTACTTCCACCCTAAATCTCCTCCTCCTGTACTGCTTCACTCCTGCTAATCCCTCTCCCTTCCAATGCAGCTGAAATCCCCATCGGCTCTTCTGCACCCACCAGGAGTTTACTGAGGAAACTGGAGATCTTGAGTCCCAGCTTAACCACATTTTCCACGGCCGAGAAGTAGGCACCTGTGGAGCCGTACACCCAATCCACGGCAATCACATTAGCATCTGCTGCCCTCAGAAGGGCCCCGATGAGCTTCTCAATCCAGGAAGGCTTTGTTCCTAAAGCCCTAGTCATGGGGCCAAGAAAGGATAGAATAAATTATCTGCCAAATTGATATCCATTGTCATGGGAACCTCTGCTAACAGAATAAACCCAGAAAAAAGTCAAGACTAGGGAAGGGGGATCCAAGGGCAGTAAGTCACAGCAATTGAGCATAGGGAGGACAGTCCCAAAGTGACGAGGGCTTCTGCCTGCACGTAGGGAGCCTTTGTGTAAATTATGATAGGATGCCTCTTGTCCGGGTAGCTGCGGCTCCGTGCTAGACTCAGAACTCAGGCTGTATTTCAGCCTCCCACCCCCCAGCCCTTAGCCCCCATCCCTGTGTGCAAAGCTTCAACTACACACGCCATGTACACTGGCCCTGCTTGTGTGATTTGTGGTAAAGAAAGGATAGATTTGTACATTAGAGTTAAGATTTGCAATCTTAATTCTCATTCTAGAAAATAGGTACTTTCTTGAGGATGTTTTTATTTATCCATTCACTTATTTATTTCTTCAACAAATGAGCCAGGCAGTGTGCTAGGTGCTTTGCAGAAATTTAAAATAAAATAAAATAAAATAAAATAAAATACAGCCTCTATCATTCTGGAACTTACAGTGTAATAGCACTTTTCTAGAAAAAGAGAATGGTTTTTAAAATTTCAGAATGCTTTCTTCCCAAGCAAATGGGATCAGGAAAGAAGTTTTCTCAATGGCCTGTCACAGCACAGGAACAATCAGAGCACATTCTCTGAGTGTGTGCTCATGGGACAGAGGAGCAGACTGACATTCGTCAGGGAATGTGACTTTGGGGGATCTGGGAGCACACACAGTGAGGAGCCCGATGAGCTTTTCAGCTCTATTAGCTATCCCTGGGTTGAGGGCACACACTCAGCCTTGGATAGTGGCTAAATGTAGGATTTGCTAGGGGAGAGACTTTGGCACATTCCTGAGAAATGCTAGCCTCTGGGTGGGACAGAAGTAGCATCCATCAGTGGTAGTTTCTTAGGTCATAAAACCAGGGAAGAAGTGAGAAAAGAAAAGAAAATTCTGTATTTAAAAAACAACAACCTCACGCTGTTACCCCTGAGTAATTGTGCACAGCCCATGACTTCATTGGCTGAGATGAATCATACAACCACGCTTCAAGGAGGAAAGGTCCCTGAGATCATCTCTACAAACTCCCTTCGTCTCCCTTAGGCTCCGGGGGCTGGAGTGATTTGTCCAAGATCACACATATTTATTGTTCGAGAGTGTGTAGACAAGGGCTGAGGGAGGAGTAACATATATAACCAACAGGAATAAACAACATAATATGTGTTCATGTTGACATGAGACACCTTTACAGACAGCAGGAGATGAGGGATGGGACCTGTGAGTCAGCCAATTCCTTCCTCCTCTTACTCCCCACTACCTTCCCATGATCACTTTCTAGCGCTTAGCACAGGCAATCCTATTGATTGGTTAGCTCCCACCTGAATCCATGGATTATTAGTTTGGTTCCCAGAGTGACATTGAATCCAGAGTTTTGAAGGTCACTACTTTCTTCAACTAGGTTCCCACAGCGAGGATCTGAAGGGGTGAAGAGGAGGAACTGGACTTTGAGATTGGTGCCTCGGAAGGGGTTGGCATTCTGGAAGTCAGTGCACTTTGGCTGTTCGGTAGGAGGTGTGTCTCCTGGAGGGAAAACAAGAGCAGTGCACGGTGAGGTCATCTGTTCTTGGGAGGACAGAAAGATGTTCTTGAAAGGACGGAAGACACGGGCTGACAGCTGCATCGGGGTGCAGAAGAAGATGGCGGTCTCCACAGGAGTTAAAGTTCCTCATGATTTTCGCTCATTGGAAGAACTTGAAAAAGGACAAAAAGGAGTAGGTATGTGTGTGTGTGTGGGGGGGGGTCAATTGGGGGAAAAGGAGATATATGTAAAACTTTAGACAATAAATAATTTAAAAAAATAAAAATAGAGTAAAAAAAAGAGTAGGCGATGGGATGGTTAGCTGGGGCCTTAAAGATGATGAATATATGACACTTAAAAGGTGGACAGGCATGATATTGGGCCACCAAGGATAAATTATGAAAACAGAATATATATATATATATATATATATATATAGCCTAAAAGTAGAATGTGGACCTAAATACCCAGAAGCTCCTCCATCAGTTAGATTTGTAATAAAAATTAATATGAATGGAATACATAATTCCAGTGGAACGGTAGGTGCATGGAGCTTATCTGTATTAGCAAAATGGCAAAATTCATATAGCATTAAAGTTGTACTTCAAGAACTAAGACGTCTAATGATATCCAAAGAAGCTTCCACAGCAATCAGGACAAACATACAGCAATTACTTTTAGTGGATCTCAAACTTGTCTTAAATCAACAATCTTCTACTCATGTTAATGTCTTGATTAAATATCAGAATGCCAACTGGTAAACATGACCTAGACATTTGTAAGAATATACTTACTATATGCATACACATTATGTTTTCAGGTAACAGGAGAGAAAAAAATGCAGCACAATTTTTTAAGGCACTGTCATTTAAACATAAAGCTGGAGTGTTCAAAATAGAATTCAGGTTTACAGGATGAAAGTGTGGTGATTTTTACTAAAAGGTAAAAATCTCAAGAAGGAAAAAGAGAAATGGCGTGCTTTCTCCATCTTGCTTAGAGAAAGAGCTTCCACTCAAATTGTCTAAAGTAGCAGTTACAATGAATATTGTCTCAAATTGTTTTAATTTTTAAGTGGTGTGGGTGCTGACTACCAATAGTATCAAAAATATGTTCAGGATTGTTTGGATATCTGTATTTATAATAAAAATAAATGTCATGGGGAAGGTCAATGAATGTCTGTTGAAAGCTGTTCCTGTGTGTTACACGTAACAGACATGGTAAAGATTTGTTTTCCCATGTCTTTGTTGGGCAAACCATGTATTTAAGTAAGTGAAATCAGCAAAAAGGAAATGGGTGAATTGATATGTGATTTTTGAGATTAAAGTTAGTCTTAAAATGCAAATAAAGTGTAGATCGTGTTCTCAGAAACTGCCATTTCTATTTTATTGATGTAGTACATGGAAAGTACCTTGCTGAGGTAGCAAAGACTGGAATTGTAGCTTTTCATCCATATAAACTTTTTATTGTTAATCATTTTTTATATATTTCTTGTGAATTGGAATTTGCAGAGTATTTTAGAGAACAAATTACTTCATTCGTTTAATTTCATCTTTGGAGAAGGAAGAATCCCAAGTATTATATTTCGACTTTGATTTCACCAGAAATGTATTAAAGATGTTTGAATTCTAGCAATTTTTATAGAATTATAGATTGTAATTATCCAAATATACATTCTATTTTGATTCATAACATCCTTTTTTGGTGACATTTTTTCTCACAATGCTTTTAATACTGACTGGGATTAATTTATACATTCCACTTGTCTTTCACTTCTGCATCTGTGTAATTTTGAACTGATGTTCTGCTTTTACCAAAGTGAGAGGTTTTAAGTTACTGATTTTCATTTCAAAGCACTAGGTATACTACTTTGTTGAAAATACTCTTTTCTCATGGGTTCACTGCATAAAATAGAAAAGTCGGGTAACAAGGACAAATTTCTTAAACATGCCTTAACATGTTTTTGTCAAGTTCATTCATATCAAAAGCTTTGAGCTACCATTTCTTAGTCACTAATATATCAAAGTCAGTGGTTTGTCTAGTTTGTCTAAACTTTTAATTTCAACATGAGTATTCTATTTTAATTATCAAAGATATTTAAAATGACACATAGTGAATATATATATATAATACTAATATATATATATATTATACTAATATATATATAATACTAATATATATTAGTGCATGTGTAATTTATTAAAATAGGTTTGAAATGAATTATTACCTTGGGATACATTCTGAAAACTTTTAAATTGGTAAGAGAGATTAAGTTGAATTACACTGATGTCATACAAAGGAGTCTGGTGATTACTAATCATCTAAATCAATCTCTTTAAGAACTTCTGTTCCACTTTGAAAATGTGTCTTATCATCAATGGGTTCTGAATGCTGTTAAATTATTCAAATATTGGGTACCTTGATTTTTTGTCCTCTTTCATTTTCCCATATCCACTAATTGTGAAGATTTTGTTGTTGGTGTTGTTTTTCAACAAAATGTAATGTTTATTTCCCCTTTTTGTTTTGGGACTATGGATAAATCTGCATGCAAAAGCAAGATTCATTTTGCATGTCACAATCAAGATGTACACGGCAATCTAAGACACACTGGTTGATTATAGAAGTTAATACAGAACCAACCTTAATTGTAGTAACATTTCTAAGACAACAGTTTTGAAGCTATTTTTCTTTTGTCTATTTTGTAAAGGGGCTAATGTTGTAGGAGTGTGTGGCATTAAATTAACTGTAAAATTGCCTTTGAGATTTGTTTAAAAAGCTAGCAGATGAGCCCTAGGAAATGATGTGATATTAATAAAGATTACCAAAAAAAAGAAAGAAAGAAACAGGGGCTTACAGGCATTGTAAATCAGCTAGATTCATGTGTATAATATACATATTAGATTACATATATTATATATTTATATCTATATATATAAAAGCCCAGCAACCATTACAGTGGAACAACAGAACGACCAGAACAACCAGTCGTTATGACACACACTGACCACCAGGGGGCAGACACTCAATGCAGGAGCTGCCCCCTGGTAGTCAGTGTGCTCCCATAGCGGGAGCGCCACTCAGCCAGAAGCCAGGCTCACGGCTGGAGAGTGCAGCAGTGGTGGCAGGAGCCTCTCCCACCTCCATGGCAGAACTAAGGAGCAGTGAACCAAGCAGTAAGGAGCGGCAGGCGGATGGTAAGAAGTGAGCAGGCAGGCAGTTAGGAGTGAGTAGGCAGGTCGTTAGGAGCAAGCAGGCAGGCGGTTAGGAGTGAGGGGTCCTGGATTGCAAGAGGGATGTCCGGCAATCGGGCCTAAACCAGCAGTCAAACATCCCACGAGGGCTCCCAGACTGCCAGAGGGTGCAGGCTGGGCTGAAGGACCCCCCCACCCCGTGCATGAATTTCATGCACCGGGCCGCTAGTAAACATATAATCAGATTCATTTATTAAAACCTGCATAATTTCTGAAATCAAAATCTGTGAATATTTTTCACATCTAAAGATAAAATGCCAGAGATGACTATGAATATTACTCAATGATAGAAGGTTAAAGGCCATGGTGAAATGGATACTATTATGGACTAAACTGAGTCTCCCTATAAATTCATACGTTGGAGTCCTAACCTCCAGTACCTCAGAATGTGACTGCATTTGGAGATAGGGTCTTTACAGAGGTAATCACATTAAAAGAGGCCATTAGAATGGGCCCTACTCCAATATGACTGGCATTCTTGTAAGAAGAGGAAATCTGGACACAGACACAGAAGAAAGATGATGAGCAGGCACATGGAGCAGATGGTCATATACAAGCCAAGGAGAGAGACCAAGAAGAGATCCTTCCCTCACAGCCCCCAGGAGGAACCACCCCTCCCACTGCCTTGATCTTGGACTTCCAGCCTCCAGAACCATGTGTCAATAAGCTTTTGTTCTTTAAGCCATCCAGTCTATGACATGTTGTTATAGCAGCTCTAGCAAAGTAACACAGATTTATAAAACAAACAAACAAACAAACAAAAAACCCCGGCAACAAGATAAGCAGTTGGGCTGGGATGAGCTCACTCTGGACGGAACCCCAGTCCAGCCCCATCATTATCATCCTTATGAGCAATCTGGAGCCTCCGTGCCCGGCCCATGGCCACCTCGCCAGAGGTCAGAACAAACCTGTCACAAGCTGGACCCACTCTACAGCACCTCACCATAGATACATTTAAATGGGATCTTTTATGGTCAAGGGCATTGAAGGGCCTTTAAAAATACTGAACTGAAACAGGCAGCATGAAACTCCTACTTTCCCAGGGAGCTGAAAATCTGGCCCCTCTTCAATACCCAACATTGCAACCCTTGTTTACTTCTGTGGCAAAGAGGTGTAGCACCCAGCTCCAAGCCTGGCTTGCAGGGAGGGACCAGCAGCAGCAGCCACAAGCACACACTGACCCAGGCTACACGGCCCCGGTCATGGCACTGTTAGCGGCTACCTTGCATTACTGCCATGGGACAAAGCCATTTATAGAATTAGAGGTCCAGACTGCAGACTTTGGTTTGTGCAGGTTCCTTCCTGAAGGAGACAGCAATTTTAGTTTTCTGGAATGGTTATCTGCCTTCAAAGGTCACCCGGGAGCACATTTACAAGAAGCATGTGGATCTGGGTGCAATGAGATGTGGCCCCATGAGAGATAGACGGTGGACCCCATCCTTAGAGAGTACTGAGGTGCACCGGTGTTTTCACCACCTCTGCATCTGAGCTCCAAGTCCTCTTGCATGTCCCTTCCTGGACACCCTGGCATGAAGCCCCCACACTCCTCAGCCTACAACTTGAGCTCCCGAAGGACACGAAAGAGAAAGATGCCTGGCACTACAACAGCTCTGCCTTTCCCAGCTTCTGGCTTTTTTAATAAATATATATTTTTATTGATTTCAGAGAGGAAGAGAGAGGGAAAGAGAGAGAGAGACATCAGTGATGAGAGAGAATCATTGATCAGCTGCCACTGGGGATCGAGCCTGTAACCT